TTCTGGGGTTGGCACAATATTATGCAATTTACATACCTAAAATGTATGATTTAAGAGCCCCCCTCAACGAATTGTTAAAAAAAGACAAAAAATGGTTTTGGTCAAAAGAGTGCGAGACGGCTTTTCAGAAAATAAAAAATGCCTACTCTCAGATCTCGCTTTAGCACATTATGATCCTGAGAAAGAGATCATTCTAGCAACTGACGAAGTTTATACGGAGTGGGTGCTGCACTGCTACACAAATATGAAGATGGTACTACCAAACCTATCGCGCAAGACGTCAAGGACTCTTCTTCCGGCTGAAAAAAAATTATAGCCAGATCGAGAAGGAGGCTTTGTCGATTGTGTTCGGAGTTAAAAAATACCACCGCTTCTTACATGGTAGATCATTTGTTCTGCAAACGGATCATAAACCGTTACTTTCAATATTTGGAAGTAAAAAAGGCATTCCTACGCATACAGCTAATCGATTACGGCGATGGGGTGTAACCCTACTTAATTACCATTTTAGGATGGAATACGTCAAATCTAAAGAACATGGGCATGCGGATGGATTGTCAAGGCTGATTCCAAAAAAGGAAGAATTGTTAGAAGAAACGGTTATAGCAGCATTAACTGAGGAAATAGAAATCTCAGGTCTCTTATTGAATACAATCAGGGAATTGCCGGTTACATTAGACAAAATAAAAAAAAAGCGGAAAAAGATCACTATATTGTGAAATTAAAAACCAGACAAATTGGAACAAAAGACAGAAAAAAAGGAACTCAGATTTCACCTTTTTCAATTTATGACAACACGTTGATGTACGCAGATAGAATTGTCATACCTCAATCTCTACAGACAGATATACTGAAAGAATTTCATACCGGTCATCCTGGAATGTCCCGGATGAAATCACTCTCGTAAGTTACGTATACTGGCCGGGAATGGACAAGGATATCAAGATTTTTGTAAGACTATGTAGAGGTTGTCAATTGGCTGCAAGGGCACCTCCGGTCAAAATGAATCCTTGGCCTAAAACGGATTTGCCGTGGGCACGTCTACATATAGACTATGCTGGACCAATCAATGGACACTATTATTTGATATTGGTGGACTCTTTATCGAAATGGCCTGAAGTAGTCAAGTGCAAGCATCCTACATCTAGGAACACCATCAGTGCATTGGATGAAATTTTCAGTCGTTTAGGGTTCCCAGAACATTAGTTAGCGACAATGGTACGGCGTTCACAAGTATGGAATTTAAGGATTTCTGTACCGCCTTAGACATTGAACACATAACTACACCAGTGTGCCATCCCAGGTCGAACGGTCAAGCCGAGAAATTTGTCGACACTTTTTTAAACGTGCTTTACGTAAAAATAGAGGTATAGACACTGAAGAAAGAACTATTCAAAAGTTTTTAGCAATCTATAGGGTAACTCCTAATCAGAACAATAATGCGAAAATGTCACCTGCGGAAATTATGTTCGCAAGAAAAAATTAGATCAATTTTCGATAGATTGTTACCCTATCAAAACAAAAAAAGTTGCTAAAAAAGACGAAAAAAGTCAATATAAAAAATACACACCAGGAGACAAAGTTTTTTTAAAAACTTTAAAAGTGGGAAAAAGCTTTTGGATGGATGGCATAATCCAGAAAAGGATTGGTAAAGTGGTCTACATGATTAAAAGTAATAAATTTATGTGTAAAAGACACATCAATCAGATTAGACCACGATATGGTGAAGAAAGTGAAAAAAAGCGAAGAAGAAATTCCGATGGAAGTGTTATGCGATGCTTTTAACATGACACTACCCAATAGTGTATTGAAACCTGTATCGCATGAAACAGCCTTACGGGCTGGAAAGCGGAAATTATCTTCGCCAAAAAGGATCAAATTACGACGACTGAAAGAAGGAGAACACGGCAAAGAAAACCAGTGGAGCGTTTTAGTCCAGATCCAAAAAGAAGACGATATTAGAAGCAGAAATTTTCAAAAGGAAGAATTTCAGCTTCGGGGGGGAGGTGTTGTGATGAAATAACCTGACTTCCCCATTCACCATAAATGGACGTTCCGGTGGCCGATAAAGTTCGACCACAGTAAACAGTCAGAGGTTCAACAGAGTGACAACAAAGGTCTTCGTTGACTACACCATTCGGTTAGCTTACTCCTACTCTGTCTCTGTATTTTGACATTCCTACATTCCGATACAAAGTATTATTATTTAAACCACCACTCGGGTTTACTTTGTTATTATATCTTTTTGCGAGATATAACGACTGGCGACGAGATATAACAGAGACCTTAGTGGAAAATCTCTTAACCTAATGCTTAAAAATATAATTCCAAGTGGCAGCACGTAGAAAAATCCCAAAATAAATTCCAATCAGTGCATTGATAATAGAAAGATGTTTTGTTAATAGGGGGCTCTTACCTGACAGGAGAGCAGAAAGAGCTATAAATTCTAATTCTACTGTGTGGTTGGAGTTGCCAAGAGGACAGAGCTGCATAGCATGACATGAGTCTTGGGAGGAGGTAAGGAAAAGATCAAGTAGAGAAGTGTGTCCAGCAGAATTCCTAGGGAAATGTGTGGAAAAGTCTACTATTTAAGTGAGGGATTGAGCAATTAAGAAGATCAAAGCCTAGATGCCAGTGAGGTCAGTGGCATTAGAATGATGAAGACACATGATGGGCATTGAAGTTGTTGAACACAAAAATATTTGCTGATGAGTGTAGAGAGAGGACCTTATCTATACTATCAGAAATTCTATCTAGCAAGCAACAGTCCTGAGAAGAAGGGGAACAATGAAAGAAGAAAGGATAAATGATTGAGTTTAACATAAAAGTATTATTTAAAGTTTTTGTTGGATGCAATGCCTTTGGAACAAATTTATTAAAATATTGCTTTTTCTTTTTATTTACCATGTGAAGACATTAATTATATCCACAAAAACTACCTTTTATTGAATCATGTCAATACATTTTAACAGTCATTATACATATAAGCAAAAAACAATGACATCATGAAGTGGAAGTTTTCTATGTCGGAAATAAAATAGTATGTGTGACAATCACGACAGACATAACATCCATCTGGGGAGGGAGAAGAATCAGAGACAATTGTAACAGCAAAGGTTATTGTTAAATCAAATTTTCACTTTGTCAAAGGTTTGCTTCACTGAAAAATCAAAAAGTTAGAAAAATAAAGGGAGATAACTTTTATATCTGAATAGTGCTTTTTAAAATTATACATCAGTTAAAACTTTTATTGTTTATTTACAATAATGAATATTTTCCTCCATAAATTCATCATGGATGTCTTCATTCATCTAATAATGATGCTTAATATTTTGGTTTCATTCTAGGAATATTTAAAAACGAGTAAAACTGCTGAAAAACAAACACACTTGAATATTTGTCATATCCAAAATAGATGTGTAAATAAATTAAATATTTAAAAAAAGGTTTTCTGTATTAATTTATATTACACATTTATTTATTTTAATATTTATATTTTAATTTTTTATTTATATTTCTAATGCATGAAAAAAAAAAAAAAAAAAGAGAGAGAGACAAAAAAAGACAATTTTTAGGCATTAACAGATTTCAACATTACATAATACTCTTACCCAAATCAACTGACTTGTTGTCAATCATTCATTATTGTAAATAATAAAGAATCAGTTTAACGAATTTCATTTTTAAATGACACATAATTAAAAAAAAAAAAAAAACGAAAAGTACTATTCAGTTATCTCCCTTTAATTTTACATGTTTGGATTTTTCAATGAAATGAACCATTTAACAAAGTAAAGATTTGATATAACAGTTTCAGTGAAGCCAGTTTTCAGACTAATGACATTTACTGCAACAAATGGAAGACAAACTGCTACAAACCAGAAGAATTAATCAATGGAATAAAAATCCAAGGCAATCTTGAACCTTCATGCCTGCAAAATAAAAAAGAAAATGAGGTGTCAAAAGGACAATTTATCCCTTGACACTGCTATTATTTTAACTACCTTCACTCCCCAGTATAACTTGCTTTAAAAAGCAATGATTAGAATTGGAATAAAACCTAAACATATAATGGAAATGAATTTATACATTTTTTTTTGTTCTTGAGAATTGCCAAAAATTATTAAACACCTTATTTATTAGATTGTTTATTTACAAGAATAATTTTATATTGACAACATTCTAAAAACTAATACAATGCAACATTTATTATTTACCAATTAATAAAGAAATAAATACAAACATTTTTTATTCACAAATTTATAAAAATATGTGAACCAAGTATAAGGAAATCCTTATTATTTACCATTTTTAAAGTTCAAATTGATTGGCAATTAGACGATGTTTTGCCAACCATTCCAATAAACAATTTAATAAATAAATAGTGTTTATTACTCTTGTTGTTAATTCTCAAGAACAAAGAAAATGTATAAATTCATTTTCATATGTTTAGATTTTATTACAATTTTAATCATCGCTTTTTAAAACAATAAATATTTCTGAGGTGTGATGGTAGTTAAAATAATAGCAGTGTCAAGGGAAAAACTGTCCTTTTGACACTGTGTTTTTGTGGGCATGAAGGTCCAAGGTTGCCAAAGCAACAAAACGAATACAGGGGGTCCTTGACTTACGTCAGAGACCCATTCCTATGGCACGGTGTAACCTGATTTTCGATGTAAGTTGGAACTCATCTACATAAGTACCAACGAGTCTGCCTTACGCTTGAGAGCCATAATGAAGGTCAAAAAGCCCCCCCCAAAAAACGACACAAATGAGAGATAGCCAATGTAGCATAATCCAATATAACATACAGCCAGTGAAGAAACAATGCCATCTTCCTTGTATAGCACTCTGTGATGCCATATTTTGGAAAATGGCGCCAAGACCGACATAACTCGAGGACATTCTGTATACCGAAAATAAAAGAATAATGAAAATATTTCATCTCAAAATGTCAGACAACATCTAGAAATATCTTTTGATTTAATAAATAGACTCACCAATTTCTCTTTGTCAATAAATCTGACACGCCTGTAATCATCTTCACTGTATTTCTGAAAAAGAAAATGGATTTTTAAATTTCAAGGGCAGATAATCAGCGTCTCCACAATCAACGCCATCAATAAAGTAAAATTAAAGTCAAATTGCAGAAAACCTTTATATTAATGACATCATTCACACACACCATTGTCCTCATATTTGTTGTTGTTACCACAATGTTTGACCATTGTGCCCTCTGGACTCTTTAGGTGTTTTATTTAACCGTTATTTAATCTATACGAGTAAATTATTCTCATTCCGTTGTTCATATCTAGGGATTATCTCGTCCTGTTCTCCTTTTAATACTGTTCAATTATTGCTTACTTCTCTTGCCACTGAGGCTAAACTACCCAACCCAGCGATTGAACCAATTACTCTGCCACCAAATTCACAAAACAATTTTTTAATCCACTAATATAAGCTCAAAGTCCCTGGTGTTTGTGTCTACTCAACATTCTGAAAATGAATTTAATATATAAAGTTGATTGTGTGTGTATGTATGTGTTTCTGCAATTTAGTCATGATATTTATCTGCACACCCATTCGAATGATGTATGGAATAAAGCCACATTTAAAGTGAGAATCTCATGCATACGTAAAACTAGAGATAAAGATTTTTTTCAGCGGTTTCTTATTGGAAAACCTCAAAGACAAGGGAATAACCCTGACACTCCCAACTTTAGTCTGAGTAAAAAAGTGTTGACCAGGGAAAAGCTCTCTAGAGTTGAAGTAAATAATAATAAATGCAGATAAAAAAATTAGGTTTTACCATCCATATTGACTAGCATGTGTCTTATATCTTGCCCAACTTAGCAATTCTTGTTTAATAGTGATAAACTATTTGCATATTACATAAAAGTCTGATATCAAATAAATGCAGTTTTATCATATCTTGCATCATGTGTCTTATATCTTGCCCAACTTAATGATTCGGGTTTAACAGAAATAGGTAATTTGCATACTAGATAAAACTATGACATTTGTGGGTCTTTTTCTTCTTTTTCAATAAGCAAGAACATAGTTAAGAAGTTCCCAAACACCTGTGTAAATAAAATTTTGTATGTCATCCCTATAAAATCTCCTATGGAGTATAGGGACACAGCCTCCCCATGCTAGGCATCACTGCTGCAGATTTGGTAGAAAGTAGCATTTTTACAGGGTGGCATTGCCAGTCCAACTCAGAGTTCTCCTCCTACACCAGTTGTCAAGCAAAAGAGGGAACTCTGTCTGCCCTGCTATTGAACCCCAAGCTAGAGAGAGAAGTGATAGATTATTGAACCCCAAGCTAGAGAGAGAAGAAATGGATTATTATCCTTCCCAAGCATATTTTTTGTGAAAATGAATGCAACAACTCTGAACTTGGTTTGCCATTCCCACTTTCTGTACCAATAAATGTGTACAGTCATAAAATTCCGTACCTTCTGATAAGTTAGAAGCCATTATGAAAATTCAAGATAAATAATACAACTGTCCAATGAACAGAATTAATATAGTTTGCAATAAAAAGAAAAAAAGGTAAAAATAAAATAATATCAAGCAAGCAAACAATATATGCAAAACAAATCAACAGGTAAGAAGGCAAAAGAGTTCACAAACTGAGTTGGTGTTTGCACACAAAAGCAAGGTCAGACAAGCAAATGCAGTGGGCCTGCCTAGTAGATAAGCCAGATCTCGACGCAAGCTGTCCCATTTTATTGGCTAAGTATCCCAGCATGCATTTTGTGGACCTTTGCCTATAAAAGGGGAGGGGGGGAAAGTATCGCAGTCATTCCTATTCCAGATTGGAAATCACCATTTTCAGTATATATATATTTTTATTGCATTTTATATAATGAATACATCTAACTTGAACTTAGCACATTCTTAGGGACCCATCGTAAACCAATGAGTCCCAGGTCATTTTTCTCGCCTTGTCATCCCAGGTTTCTTCACTTACTCCCCCTCCCCCATTTTGAATTTTCACCAAGTAATAATTTTCCACCATTATACTCTTACATTACTAATAAGTGATTCAAATTCTTTTATATACCATGTCCCTTCAGGACGTGGACGATCCTGACTCTCCACAACTTCCTGTCCATTATTGCTCTATGTTTAACTCTTTATCATCTCTCCTTGTCCCTGGTCTGCTATCCAATTAATTAAACTCATGTAGGTTGTTTGCCATTTCCTTTTGCCTCTACTCATTTTAATATAACCTGTGAGTGTTAAATTTTCCAAGCCCTCTTTCCTCATAATGTGTCCCACAAATTTCAGCTCTTCCTGCATCCTTCTAGTTCCTTTTTTCTTTACTACTACCGTGTTACTTCCATGTCCTGTCCGTGTTATTCTCAGCTTTTTTCTGTAGAACCATATCACTGTTGTAGGGATTAACTCCACCAAGTCTGCCAAGATGCCCACTAGGTGGTGCTGTTTCAGGATTATAAAAGAATGAACATAACCATTTCTTTCTTTTCTCTTTTGCATCAAATGCAGCTGAATCAGCATGAGACTTTTCCCACACTGAGGAAAAACTTTCTCCCTAGGAGAGCACCCACTAGATTTAACACACACATTTTCTAATAGCTAACCTGATAAATATTCGTCTCTTTTCAGCTATGTCTACACAGTAGTATATATTATTTCTTTTTTTTCAGTAATCATGCTACTAGCTATATAAAAATAGATAAAAATGCCATGTGTTGAAAGTCATGGGGAATTGAAAAAAGTGCAATTCAATTTTTTCAGTGGTTCTTGTAACAGGGAATCAGCCGGGTATGCACTAAGAGTTGCGTCCCTTTCCACAATAGGCTGTTGAGAGAAGACCTTTGACTGAGAGTAAGTGGCATTGCCTACGTGTCCCAATACTGGACAGGTATTAGCCAATAGCCAGCATGGGTCTGGGACCGGAAGAGCTATATAACACCAGTGTTTTTCACAGTTGGGGAAGCACTCTCAATGTACGGATGGGCAAAACCAGATAAGACAGACACAGTTCTCACCCTCAACCACGTTCCATACAAATCCGTAAAGACCCACGTATCCTCTACAAATGAATCCTTTACACCAATGTTTCTCAACTGGTGTTCCCTGGAAACCTGGGATTCCGCAAGAAATCGTAAATAAATAGATTAATGCTATTTTGAGTAATTTTTGTTTAATTTTATATTCATAAGTTTACTATACACTTATGGTATATTGTTGGAAAATCCTTGGTTATTATAATAAAGGCTTCAAACTATTTAAAATTATATAATTATAGGGAATATATTTAGCAATGTCTACATGGCATCAGTATGAATCTGCTTTCACTGGTTAGTAAACAGGATTTGTATGTGGCAAATTCACGTATTATTGTATATTAAGATTACCACATGAACTATGATAAAAATATAATTAATAAATATATTAATAATGGTATTGTAATATATGGCATTGGTATGTTGAGGTTGGGAGATGAAACAACACTACCTCAGAAATCACAGAATGGTGAATGGCACACAACTTGAACAAAAGTGTCCAAGAGAACAACTTCAGAAGACGCTGAGTCTCTTTTATTAACATGAGGCATCTGACAAAAACCTGACTCTTGACAAGTTGCAGAGAGGCCCATATCTAGACATGACAAGCTGTCCTGTTGCTAATGGGGAAAACCCAGATCTAACGTGTGCTGACAGACATGCCCGCATACGACTCTGGGCCTTTTTTTTGCCTGTATTGGCATGTGTTCGCCACAGGTATATAATAATTTTATGCAGGGACTCTCTGAGATGTGAAAACTATTTCAAGGGTTCCACAAAGATAAAAAGGTTGAGAAACGCTGTTCTACACCGTCACTTCAAATCTTATCTTTTTCTGTAAGGAAATTGTTCAGCATTCACAGTCATTCAGATTGACTGATAGGACATTGCAATTCAGATCAATTTATAGCTTTATTAATTGCAGTCAAATGTGGAAAAAATATTCTTTAATTCAATGGACCATAAAACTTTCATTTAACCTGGCCCTTTAGATTCAGTCATATTCCCCACTGCCGTAATGTAGCTTCCCTGCACCTTTTCTATCAATATTTTCATAGTAATCGTTCTGAGAGCTTTCCTATTTGGTAACTAGATTTTACAAATTTTTAAGTGCAGTACTAGATTGGTAGCTAGGTCTTAAAATGGTTACATGTAACTGTAAGTTCTATGCTAACAATTCTTGCTTATGGAACTCTCTTCCAGCTTCTTGTTTTCCAGTCAACTTTGATTTTCAAAAATTTAAATACAATGTCAATTGTTATTGGTGTAGAATACCTACAGACGATAATGGTAATGTCCCCATTCACATAAATACAGTAGTAAATACTGTATGTTGGTCTGCAGTTGGAGATTCATCTCCAGCTGTGCTGGTCAAACCCTCTGCCTATGGGCAGAGAGGATCCCCAGACAAGGCTATGTCGAAGAGCAGAGTCTTGTCTTGGGGAAACAGCTACTTGACCCTGTTTAAACTGGGTCTACGGGGAATTTTTGGCCAAGCCTTAGGGATTGGATGCCCCACATTAAATTCGGCCTTGTGCTACATCGGACCGTTTGGGGCAGTTGGTAGATATCCTGCAGTTGGAGATTCATTGTGAAATTCACTTGACTCACTTCTAGCACTTGACTACTACTTCTATTCGCTGATGGCGAATCTTATGTGTGTTGTTCTTGTCCTAAGTATTATTATTCATTACCAACCTTTGTGTGATTATTCTATTCAGTAACCTTCCCTAGATTGCAAGTTATCTTTTGTCTTCTTAATTCCTGTTCTTTTCTTGTTCTCTCTCCATAATAATGTTTTTCTTTTTATCATATTATTTCACTCAATAACTCCTTACGTCTTAGTGGCTTTATTGCTTTATTTGAGTTGAAATGTTGAAAAAAAAATAATAATGAAAAATCTTAATGCCCAATTTTTCCTCAGGCAAAAAATTCCTCGACTTATAGGATATAAACTCCTATATTTTATGGCCAATAAGTGAATCACAAACAAGTAAGAAATGTCTACAGATAAATCCTACCTTATTCAATAAATACAAAAAACTTTACAATTCTGTACAAAACATGGTTCCAAAATTAAATAAGTTGTTTCTGGAATCTGATTGGATATGACATTTCAACACAACCATAGTAAAAAAAAAAAGAAACAGATTTTTTATGTCAGTAAGTCAGTTATGTGATACACGCTTAGGTGATCATGTATCTTTCCATCCATGGGGCAGATTTTTTTTCCCACAGTAGGTTGCCATTTCTTTCTGTGGTAGACCAGTTACCATCCAAGGCTATAGAAGCCAGTCTGTCCTGCGATTTACCCATAGCTGGGGGGGGGAGAAGAAGAAGAGGAGGATTCATACTTTTCCCAAGGGTATTAGTAGAGAAGTGAATGTAATGGATTTTTTTATCACCAGCATTAATAAAACAATCAAAATAAACTTCAAGTTTTTTGTCATATTGATATCATTTCTTCAGTTTGTGAAACTATAAGTTATAACATAGAACATAAAATCATAGCTCAAAAAAAGTTTGAGGAGCCCTAAGGCAGGAACCTAAAAAGGATAATCCAGTCCTGGTAACGTTTTTTATTTTTAGTCTTCTTAAAACAAAAAGCATTTTTGCCGTAAGTCATGCTGTTAATAAACAGAAAGCCAATGAAAAGCAATTTTCGAAGTCGTTATTATTATTATGAAAATTAATGTTTTACGTTTATTTTATTACGATCGAATATAAAAGTTTTTTTTTTTAAACGACCTCGGGTAATCTTTGAAAAAACTGAAGATACAAAGACACACGTGTGCAATATGAAATAAGGTAAAAATAATATAAAAAGACATTTTAATTTAAATTTTACAATGATAAACAAATGAAGATTATGTTTATAAATAAAAATTGCAACACCTTTTCAGTATAAAGGTTTACTAGTCAGATGGACACCTTCCAAAACAAACATTCGTTCTTCTTTTAATTAATGACGGACTTAATAGAATAAATATTTACCTGTCCAGTATGTGTAACTAAGTTTACAGCATTTGCATCACAGGTCTTGGGGTCTGCGAAAGACTTTGTACAATAAGCCAAAGAAGTTCGTAGTGAATTACTAATCGATGATCGAACACCCAAGGTCGTCACTGCCCGACCCAGAGAAGCCATAATGGAAACGGTTATCCGAAAATAGAGAGCGTAACCAAGGGAAATAACTCGGTTATAGTTTTTAAGGCATTGATTTTCAAATGGAAGGCATTTGGTTAAATTTATGGGAAGAATTTTATCCAGGGCAGAAATTAGGTGAAGAGTTTCAGTCATATGCATTTTATAAATATAAAGATGAAAAAATCACAGGAGGATAATTCAAATGGGGATCATCTGGGATACTGAAAAAAGATTTAAGAATATTTACAAATCTCAGCCTCTTAACAGCTTTTTACTGTTACTCTTTGGATATTTAAGATTATTAGGACTTCTCATATAGAAAAAAAAGGTTGCTTCATTATATGCATAATAAAAAGGCCTCTTACTCAGTGGGAAACTGAAAAGAAAGAATTTATTTATTTTCAATAAATTCATGTGAAAAGAAAAGAATGGGTGTAATGGTGTTGGGTAGTTAATGGTACTGGTTAGCAAAGAATTAGAAAGGTTTTTGATCAAGGTTGCGTTTTTACATTAACACTCCACTTTAAATTTGTAAAAAGAACACAAGAATGAATGATGAGAGATCAATGAAAATCAACAAGTAAACATGTATTTAAAACAAGCATATAATTGTACATATATACATATAATTCTGTTAATAACAATAAAGATTAAGTCACACGAAGTGGTTTCCCTTGTATTGTGTGAAGAACAAATGTATGTTGTAATAATGTCTTTTGTTTAAATTTGTTGGTATTTTAAGAATGTTTGAGTTTGAAAGTTAAAATATTTGTGCAGAAGTGATATAGTTCGAATAATTGACTTGGCTTGTAAACAGACAGTACAGTGTGTTATGTGAGTGTAGTTTATATCTGTGTGTGTTTGTGAGTAGAAAATTGAATATACATGTATGTGGTTTAGGTTGTGAAAATTTATAATCTACTGAAGTTATTTCTTTAATTTCTACTTTTTATAGATGTAAGGTGGCTCCTAGAATGAGCGCGGGAAGGATATTGAAGAAAGTGTCATTTAATGTGATTGGCCAAAAATCGACCAATCGTTGATTTTTTTCTATAGCTAGTTTGGTGAAGCAAAAACACGAGAAATTTTTATGTGGCTCGTGTGATGCGTAAATTGTCTGTACAAAAGGTATTGTTTATTTTCCATCCAATTACTGTTGAGTAATTTGTGGGCATGGTGTACGTAGGCATCCACTACAATGGCTTGCTTAAAATATTCTTTTGAGCACCTAATAAAAATTATAGATTAAGATAAAATGTTCACAGGAAAGTGGATGCTTGCATGAGTTGATAAAGTTAAAAGTTGTCCTTGGTAAAGGGATATACCAAAAGTTCACATGTTGTTAATGCTTTGACCTGTCAGAGGACAATAGGTCAATGATAGCAGTGAAAAGTTTATTGTATAATGAGGAACACCAAATGAAGAATCATGGTATCTTTGAGGAGTATTTGGTCTGCTTGAGGGTAGTTTCAGAAAAAACAAATGGTCAGTTTTTAGTTTTTGCATTCTACCCAGAGCAGCATTTTGGTGTCTGAAGTTCTCTTCTCAATCTCAGTTGGCTCGTGAAAGTATCTTTTTAATTTATGACAGGTTTCAAATTCTGTTTATCTCATTGGTGGAAAATAATCCAAAAGATGAGTTTTCCTCCTCAATCACTTTTTTTTCCCCAGAACATTTGAATTTGATACCCTGAACCAGTTCTACCATGCTATAAATAGACTCAAAATTGATGTTCATCAAAAAAAGTCTTGTTCTAATACCTCATTGGTTAATAATGACTTTGCTCTTAAGTAATGCTAAGGAGCATAGGGCTGGATTTTTCTTTTCAAATAAATTTTTATAAGGTACTTATGAGAAAGTGATTTGCCCAAGGGAAAAATCCCTTTGTCTCTTTTTCATCATACTTACCTGCCCCAGCAGGAACCACATTGGGGTTAAATTTAAGAATTGTGTATTAGAGCCCCAAGAGGATGTTCTTCCTTTAGGAGGAGTCCGATTGTTAATTGTTTATGTACTAATACCCTTGGGAAAGGTATGAATCCTCTTCTTCCCCCCCACCAAGCTATAGGTAAATCGCAGGACAGACTGGGTTCTATAGTCTTGGATGGTAACTGGTCTACTGCAGAAAGAAATGGCAACCTACTGCAGGAAAAAAATCTGCCCCATGTATCGAAAGATATGAGGTGTAATGTACACCCAGGGGGAGGAATTTCAGATCTAAAGTGTGTGGGTCAGTCTACTTGGATTTCACGTGGAAAAATAAAATCCGAGTGTCACGTCCACAAATTACAATACAAAATCATAAGCAACGCAAAGAAATAATCTTTGCAGAAAAAGAAGACGACCAGGCAAAATATGACAGTAACATTTATACAATATATAGATAAATATATTATATGATTAGTTGGTTTCAATCAGTTTAGGCCTGTTCAGTGTTATGGGTTACCTTATATGACTTTGTCAAAAATGCGCATTAGAAAATCAAACATTTTCTTCTTCTCTTTTTTTCTTTATATTGCTCCAAGATGTAGCAGAACATAGATAAAGGCGTTCTAGCAAGGGTGTGTTCATTTCCTGGGTCAACTGAAGACTCAACTCTCACACATGCGCACATACATTGTACTTAAATTCATGAAGTCTAGTACCATAGAGGAAGTCTCATCTGAACAATTGCCATGAAATTATTTATAGAAAAGGCACAGGGAAGTTACCTTATGGCAGTGGGAAAAGGATTGGAGGCAAGATGCCAGGTCAAGACCACTAACATCACAGATTCCTTTTTTGGATTTTATCTTCTTTGGATTTTATCAAATATATAACAAATGCACTAGACTAGATAAGACAACAATATTCAAAGCAAAGACAAATATACAAGATGGATTCTGGCAAGAAAAATTGTATAGTATTTCTTTGCTTTAGACTTCATAATTGATTCAATATACTCTTTCCACTTCATGCCATTGGAAAACATTAGTCTGGGAAGGTTGGCATCAACCATGCTGATGGATGATAAAAAGGGTTTTCTCAGACAATTAAAAGAAAGCAGTTTTACTTTGGAAGCATTGACATTAACATGCCATTCCTTGCCCCAGTTAACAACAGAAAGTATTCCATTTTTTTTAGATCAGCTTCCAGTTTGATCTTATTGAACTGCTTAGACTTATTATTAAGGCAGGAATAAATGGTTGTGTCATCAGCATAGATACCAAGTTAAGAAATGATGCTATCTGGAAGATCGTTGATGAAAATTAGGAACAACGTGTGTTGAAGATTAGAGCCATGGGGTGAATGCATGCATTAATGCAAAAAGATTTAGAAAAAGGTTGTTTAGGAACACTTTCATTTTGCAATATGATAAGAAAGACTGAGTCACTTAAAAAATTTGTCCAGAAATAACTTTTCAACTTGTGAAAGTAGACCAATATTCCTTGTCAAATGCCTTCAAGATATCCAAAGCAACAACCAGAGATTTTCTGTTCTTATCTAAAGCTTGATAGACTTTCAATAATAACCATTAACATATTAACAGTTGACCTAGAGAAGTGAAAGCCATATTACTTATCCGAAAGAAGACCCTGTGATGTGAGATGCTTAACCATTTCAGAGTTTATTAGGGCCTCTAGAACTTTACCAAAAAGAGTTAGAAGGCTAAAAGATTGATAGACCGATCAGACTGTTAACCTGAGTTTTTAAAAACAGAAATGACAGAAGAGGATTACAAACAAGCAGGAAAACAAAAGGCAACAAGGCACTTATTGTAAAGTTTATAGAGAATAGGAGACATTTCCTAAAGACTTTTGCAGGAAGAGCATCCACATGTTTTGAAGGGGAATCTAGTTTAGAAATGATAGCAGAAACCATGGATGGAGTTATATGCATATCACTTAATAAGGTATATTGGGGGAAGTTGGGTAAAAATACTCAAGATGAATCAAGAGGAGAATTTATGAACAAAACATTCTGTTTTATCAATAGAAAAAGTTAACACCTCAAATTAAGTGAAGAGAGGAGAGACAGAAGACTTAACTTTATTTAAGACATTATTAAAGAGCTATCAGAAGTCATGAAAATCAAACTTGTTAGAAGTTATAAGTTATCTCATTTTATTTGCAAACAAAAACTTAGCCTCTTTGATTTCATGTTTATAATTGTTATGAGCAGATATAAATAGGTTTCTATTGTGATTGGAACTATCATACTGGAACACCAAGAAGATGATGGTGTGAATCAAGGAGAAGATTCTGGTATGTCTGAGAAGGAACAAAAGCATTGATGCTGGCTTTGAAACAAGAAAAAACCTATATGGCACAATTCTTAATCCAAGGGTCATCTCGAAGATAGTCATGAAATGAATCCCATTTGGTATGCTAGTAGCAGAAAGAAGTCTTGTGAATCGGAGGTTTCTTTCCAATAGACAACGCAAAAGAAATATCAACAGAAACTACTGTACACTATTTACATTATTCAGACTATTGTCCTCATCTTTGGAACTAGAACAGTTTACCTCAGTGAGTGAAATAAAGGGTTCAGTTTGACATTCCAATTACCTGAAGAAGGCCAGAGCATACAACAGCCAAAATGTTGTAATAAATATGGCGACAAAGATGAGGACAATAGTCTGAATAATGTAAATAGTGTACATAATACCTTGTCTCAGAAATATAGACAGATGCTTTAGGGCCGAAACATTGTGATAAATATGGCGATAAAGATGAGGACAATAGCCCAAATAGTGTAAATAGTGTACATAATACCTCATCTCAGAAATATAGACAGATACAGAAACTACTGTGTGATCAAAATTGCCAAGAGGACAAAGTTGTGATGCTCGACAAGAGCTAGAAGAGAAGGTAAGAAACAAATCAAGTAAAGAAGCATACTGATCAGAGTTATGAGGAAAAGTTGATTTCTATACTCAATCCCCTATTTGACTAAGAGACTGAGCAATGGAAAAACTCAAAGTCTTAATACCAGCTACATCAGTAACATTAGAATGCTTA